AAATTAGAAACAAATTGTACGAGGGACTGTATCGGCTTTAACGGTTTAAGGTTTTTTAGTTTCTGAGATAAAGAGATGAACTTAAAGAAAATCTGCATACATATCAAGAAGAATACCGAGAATTTTAATGCACACGCATTTTTTTTTTTTAAACCACTAGAAACAGGTATTTTTCGTATCTTGAGTGGTTACCTTGTTTGCTGCTAGCGATAAACACAAAATTAAGGAAAACACATTCACACATTTTTCGTATATGCGACGATAGTTAATCACTAACGTCTACGTTTCTTAAAACACAATACATGTCTAAGAGAGACTTGTAGATGTCCAAAATTTATTACTTAAATACGTCCCGTCAAGTATAAACATTTCCTGGTTATTTAGGATAAGTTTTGGAAAAAGTAAATGTTTGCAATCTTTAGTTGCCGCAAATTTCTGCGAACTGTTCGACATCAATTGTGACGGGCTGAAAAGTTTTCACGCATCTCCATGTTGAGTTTGCAACGCTTTTTCGATTTTAGAGGAGATGTTATGGCAAGTTTAAAAAAAGTGTATTTGGCTGCAAAGATACAAGATATTCGAGGATGTTGTTGAGTATGAATATTTTAGAGAAAGATTTTTCAAAATTTTAAAAACTGGCAACATTGCAGCTATTCGCACGAGGTATATTCAAAGTAAGTTGATCTGCCGCCCATAAAATAGCAGATGCAAATTTAAATTAAAAAAAACTGTAATATAATTTACATGTCTATAGCTAGTGAAAGTTCTTTTGTTCTTTTAAATTTTCATTTCTGTACGCTTGACGAGTATTTAAGTGTAAAAGTTTAATTTTCGATCAGAAGCAATGCCAACCTCTTATTAATAAATCAGCTGTTAATTAATTTCCCGAAAATTTCACTACGTAAGTTACTTGTATCGGAGGGTTTTGAAAAATTGTGTTTTCAGAAATATATATATATATATATATATTAAAATGTTTCAGTGCAGGCTTATATTTTTATTATAATAATTTTCTTTTTCATCAATTTTTTATTCCTCTGCAATCTTAGAATTATAGAATTGCCTTTGAATATTAAGAAATGCTTCCTTATTCTCTACCCCGACAATTTTAAGCCGAACGCCTTTTTTCCTAAATGAAATTCCAAATTTGTAATTAAGATCAAAATATTTATAACGGACTCTTAATTTTTGGGTAGACACATTTCGAATCGATCTCAGCCTTATAGGCATTCAATGGTCGGCTTGAGGACGATGGTGATTTTCGTTTGGAAAGGCTAACACTCATTTGATGCGTGTAATTTTTTCGCAGGCCTGGGGGAAAGATGGGAAATTTCAAGAGAAAATTATTTCATGTGATAAGCTCTTTTTTACATACTATAGAAAACTAAAACCGTCTATTGAACCTTAACAGAAATGATGTCCTGAAATCTTAGATCTTTCGCACATTTTTAATTTTTATTTAATCTACAACGCCTTATGCACTGTTTGCGAAAGCAATTAAAAACGAGATGAATAAAAACTTTTACATGGAATTATACACAGGTTAACAATGTTTCCTCGAAATCGAAATTGCAGATAGAGTAGAAAATTAGAAACCTGGTCTAATTGACCCGAATAGCATCTTGTGAAAACAAAAAATGAGTTTGTCAGTGGACTGGTAATGTAATCATAAGAAATCTTCAAAGATTTCAAATAGTTGCAGTTTTAACACCTTTGCAACAATATCTATCGATCGTAGCTCATACGCTAAAAAAAGCATTGTCAAAAGAAAAGGAAAAGCATAATCCAGAGGGTGCGTTCTTACAAAAAATAAATATTTGCTGAACAAATTAGCAGCCGGCTCTTTTAGCTAGCAATTACAAACGCAATCGCAAGCAAATAACTCTTCCCTGTTGCCTTTTGACGCAGTAGACAAAAGATATGTTTAGTTTGTATGGATTTTTGTGAGATAGAATTGATGGTACATTATGTCGCTATAGAGGCATTTTCTTCGATATTATCTATGCACTGATATTTGATTACTTTGGTAATTTACTAATAGTACGACTCTTGCTCCCCTCTCTCTGTCTTATCTCTAAAGCTCGAGCTTGGAGTAAAAGCAGTCCGTCTTGCCTCACTGTCAGCAACTTGTTTTTTTTTTTAATTCGTTTTTAACTTACGGAAATGTACTCTAAAGTAATAATTTCAAAAATTTTTCTTCTATTTATAATTGTTTTTATTTGCGCGCTTGGGTTGTTTATAGAATTGAAAAATGTTGAATATCTTTTATTATTTGAATGATATCCAGAATATATTGAACAAATTAGTATTGTCGATCGGTTTCTGTATCTCTACTCAAGATATCCATTAATTATACATTCATTTATTTATTTCCTTAACTTTATCATGGTGGTTAGTTTCTTTGTCCTTGAAATTTTGATTGTAAATTTTTATCCCTTTTTATTTTCTAATGTAAAATAACACGCAGTACTTATCTCTAATTTTAGGGTGTGAGCGTTAAGCTGATGTAGAAGAGCCTAAGAACAGTGTCAAGTGGCTTTATAGAGATCTAAGCCGCTTAGTTAGAAATTTACTGTCTTCAATTATCTTTATCATTTTTCATTTGTAGCAAGTACAACATTTTTTGAATTGGATTTTGTAGGTCCCTAAAAGGACAAACACAATGAATTTACAAAATAAATCCAAATCTACTGTCTTCGCGTTAATTGTTGCGGTTGCCCGCTTCATTAGATATAGGTTTTTTTTTTTTTTTCTTAATACGTCGTAAAAATTTTAACAAACTCTCTCTCTTTTTATCTAATCGAATTGTCCTGACTATAATGTAAGAAAAAAATTTATATTCTTATGTTCAGTGTTGTTTTATTTTATTTTAATTTGTCGCTTGGCTCCGTAAAGTACTGCATATTATATTAGCGTATAAATTACTTTAATTAATACTAAAATACTATAAAATTGAAAATGATGCCATACAAAATTCAAATGGATCGAGTTATTAAATATGTTCAAATTATTTTTTATCAAAATTGACTCACGAGAGAACAATATAAAATTTAACCATTAAGACAATTAGGCCGAGTCTTTAATATTATCCGCTTATACTTCATATCGATATGAAAATATTTTAACATGTTGACGTTCATTTTAAAAATCAGTGAATGCTTTCAAAAAACGCACTTCTTTTTCTTCGTGTTATAATACTAAGGACATGTATATAGGACCGCTGTAGACGTCTTGTGCATCGACAAGCACACGCAATAGATGTCTATAGACGTTATTTACGTGAACGGGTTGTTGAGGTCGGTGAGCTTGTTGATCGATTGGGGCCATTTTATTCTTTCAGTTAGCGCTAAAAAAGAAATTTCTGTTGGGTTTTGTAGATGCGTGATCGATGTAGGCTATGTTGTAAGCTAAAAATATTTCTTTATTATCGAGGGTATATTTGTTAAGTTTTCAAAGTTTTGCAACCGCTTAAGCTTTTCAAAACAGTTACGGCAAATGGACATGATTAAACCGGAGTTATGTATATTTCAAATGGAACGACAAATCGAAATACAATTTATTGATGGTTTTTTAAAAGAAATATTATTATGATAGATAGATTAGAATAAATATAATGCTGCCGTACTTTTTATTATTATGCTTTTTGTTCGCTCTCTTCTAACTGTTTCGAAAATATATAATAATTGCATTTAATAAGTATTTTATATATATTTTGCACAGACGGTTGAAGATCTTTTAAATGACCCCAAAAAAGTATGTTACACTGTTTTATGCGTTTTTTCTTTTTTTTTTTTTTTTTTTTCTCTCACATTTTCTTTTTAATAAACCATTTCAAGAGGCGTTTGGCTTGAAAGCTGTGAACTGTTTAATGCTAGCTACGCTCCAGTGTTTGCTTTAGAAAAGGAAAATTTTTAATATTTATGGAAATTAAAAACAAAGTATACTTTAATTAAAGGTGGGGATAATCTTTTTTGCAATGCAGCACTTAAATTAAATTATTTCATAAACTACTGAGTGAATAAAGTAATCTGACTAATTTATTTACACCGTCAGTCAGAGTTGAAAGTATACCTCTTCTTAATCAATAAATAAATGTTATCAAGTTAAACGATGAAAATAATTGAGGAAAATAATGCATATCCAATAGGAAGAAGAATAGAAGATCAAGAATAATAATAATTAGTTCACTGAAACGAAGAGGACCTTATCGAGAGTGGGTAATAAAATGCTTATATAATTCATTCGTTAGACTCGGTTAAGATATTATTTCTGCATTTGGCGATGCCATCTTAAATGCACTATAATTCTCTATCTATATTCTATAATTCTCAAATTTATCTAATCCCCCAATAT